CCCCCCCCTGACTTAAATAATAACTGGTCCCTAAGATGGTTAAGAATATCAGTATTCATTTTTTGAATTTTCTGTTGCTCAGGGTTATAGTCTAGTTATTTTGTTCAGAATGTTCATGCTTTTCAGTGAGCTGCCTCTCAGTTGGCTCAGTTGGTTTGGTGCTGGTCTATTGCTCAGGATGTTGCGTATTCAAGCCTCTAATGCCGAAACAACACTCAGGGTCTTAAATACAGTTACTGATTAGAAGGTGCTGCCTTTGCTCTAGAAATATTTGCAAATGGTTAAACCTTCTCCATGGCTCGGATGACCAAAGATATCATGTTGTTGAATTGATTATAATAGGATCCACTGCAGTACAAATATGAAAAAATAAATCAAAAATCAACTTACTTTTTCACTCAGAACATCAAACATTAACTTGTTTTCACTTGTTCCAAGATTAATAATACCCTTGAAACAGGAAAAAGGATGGGATAAGAAAAACCAAGTTGGAATATGGAATGGAATAAGTTAACTTGCACCAATTTGCAAGCAGTTTTATGTCAAAGTGAAATCCATACATGCAATGTATGCAGAAATAATGTACAGTGTAAAGAGAGCCGCAATATTATTTAAGTGCCTATGACACCTAAACCAATATTTTCAGCATTGATTCTATATGAAGATAGTTGAATGGTAAAATATTTTTATATGATTTGAGTGATACATTTTGAAGATATCAAGGTTTATACTTCCAATATGTAAAATACGCAGCTCACACTAGTTTTTAGCTAGTTATATCTTCCAATATGTTAATGAGTGTGTTGTCAAGAGAGGCATTTGGGTTTGTTTGTCATCATTTTTAAATTGCTGATCACTATGAGAAAACAAGTTTGCAATAACCTTTCTGAGTATTACAGTGCCATGTGCCTAGCCACCCAATTTGGCAAAATGCCATTAAATCCTTTCCTGCCCAGTGTTTCCATCCAGCTCAGTAATCACGTGCTGATTAATTCACTGAGAGCAAATGAATGAACATCTTGATTCCCATGGGTGAAATATACTGGTGAGCAAACAAACTTTYTACAACCTGTTTTGAGAGATTGTAATAAAACTGCATTTCGTAACACACTGGTCACACATTGTTTCATTCAGTTCTTTACAAGTAGCTAAAAAGAATCACCAATTTAAAAAAAATTTTGCTCACCAGTACAGACACGTGACTGTTTACTGCAAAGGGCCTTAAAAAAGACTTTTTACGAAATTATCCAGTACTAGCACAGGAAGCCCATACAAGCATTAAGAGTTGAATGTAATTTAACGAATGAAGTAAAAATAAAAGCTAATATTTAATCACGAAGTGTTGTTAACGTAACCCTTGTTCTTTAGTAGTGATTTCGAGCCATTTTAGCCAATTTTTAAAAATCTTCGCTTAAAATGGCTCGAAATCACTACTATAAGAACAAGGGTTACGTTAACAACACTTGGATACTGTATACCCAGAGTAGTCAATCGATAAAAATCGATATCGATTTTGCCAATCGATAACAATTGATACCGCTGATTTGATTGATATCGATTGTATCAATCAATCGTTAAAAATCGAACTCACACTAAATTTTTGTATCGATTTTTATCGATTGATTGATTATATACATATCGATTTTTTTCGATTTATGTTTTGAACAATTTCTATCGATGATCATACGAGGGTCGTGTGGCTACGGATTTACACCACCGGAAATTACTCTTTCGTAACCATGGCTTGACACAAACTAGCAAAAGTACTTGAAATAATTAGCTGCCTGATCTACATATAATTACTTGTGAATTAATAGTTATAAAATCTATTGCACTATCATCGACATTTTCGAATACTTTCCGTGAAATAAAGCTGATTATATGATTGTACTCATTATTGGATCGAATTAAAGCTGTCAAATCTTGATCGATCGATTAAATCGATAAAAATCGAACTCACACCAATTTTTTTTATCGATTTTAAACGATTTCCCATAAAAATCGATACAAATCAGCTGATTTCTATCGATTTTTATCGATTGACTACTCCGG